GATCTTCAAAACCTGCTTGGATGCAATCCTGTGTAACATGCTCTAAGTGACCCTGTATGTGTAGGAGGAGTGTTGGACGAGATGATCTTCGAAGGTCCCTTCCAACCTTAAGGATTCTATGATTCTATGACATCAAAGATGTAGAAAGTATCTCGATCTGAAATCCCAGTTGGACAAAAACTATGGTGAAAATCTTCGGAGCCACCTGGGTGATGATAATTGTCTCAGTTAGTAACAGTGAAAAGGATGCCTATGAGGAGTATGAAGGAAGTCTTATACAGGAAGTTGTAACTTGAATATAAAATAATGAGAATTTGTAATTCAAAGCAAGTAGCAAAAAACTTGCTATATTTAGATAAAAACAAGGAAAGAAGTATCAGAACTGTTGCAGAATAGGGATGGAATAGAGATTAGAAATTTTGAAGTATATTCCAAAAATGTTGCTTGCAGTAGTATTGAGTGCAAAGGTATAAAAAAGGATGGCTAATGGAGATGAGGATGGAAAGAAGAAATCAACAGAAAGAATCAGGGAAATAATTAATCTTTATTCCATAATTGTGAAAGCACATCTAAAATTATATGTCTATAAGCAAGTATTTTAAAATAGATCTGTCAAGTTGGGTGTGAGAGTGTGGGTGCAGAACAAGAAATATTTTCTATTTTAGAACAGAGGATGAAATAATTTTGTGGAACTGTTGGTTTGACTTTCATGTTCAGTGTTCAATGAACAGATTTCTGGAGAATGTAATTATAGAGGAGTAAATAGAGCCTGGAATTTAGGTTTTATTAAAAGTAGATCACACTAGACAAGAGAACAGTAATGGAATGTAATCTAGGTGATTTTTAACTGAACATTTGGTACAGTGCAAACGCATCATCAATGCCTAAATGGATCAGAAGAAGAAATAAATGCAGAGGAAGAAATGGAGAATTTGAGGCCTGGGATCAGAGAAATGAAATGAAACCAACAACTGTGGAATACCAGCTCATGTACCTTAATATCAATAGCAAGAATGTCTACTACAAGCTGAAAAATAATATATTGAAAAGAGGAGAGTAATCTGGGGTAATGCTAACATAGGATGACTATAGATATTTGGTGTTGCAGTAGAAGAGGAGGAGTCTGGTCCTGAAAAGTCCACCAACAGCACCAACAATGCACTAACAGCATTTGTTTTTTAACTCTTCCCCATAGAGCCAGGGGTAGATGGTGTTCTCAGGGGTCTCAAGTAGACAGTTTTGCTTATGAAAATTGCTGTTTCCAAAACCATACCAAAGATCTATCCTGAAAGCCCAGTGATGACAATGAAGTTCACTCCTGGACAGGATCAAGTGGTTAACAATGCAAACTGGAAAGGGGCATAGTGAATTACAAGAATAAGGATTAATAGGAAAAGAGGAGGGTTCTTGAAGAGTCATGAATCATCATGTTTTACAATGTCACAAGATAGAGAAAGAAGCAGGTTCTACTGCATCATTAATGGGACTCTCAGTTTCCTAGTACTACTGTAAAGTTAGGAATTGGAAGAGGCCAGGCATGAATCTTCATTTCCTGCCTCCTTCTCTTATCAGGTAAAAGCCTTCAGGTTTCTCTTATTTCTCCAAGCAGTCACATATGTTTCCTATTTTTTTTTCTTGGTAGTGTCCAGGCCCAAAGACTAGCATACCAATGTTTATTCTTGCCTTTTTTTTTTTCCCCTGCAAATATATTTCATGGGCACACTGCCTCTTTGGAGCTCTCTGTTAGGACTTGGTGGGGCTGGGGACCATTGCAGAAAACTACTATGAGGATTATATCTGTTTTTTATTCAATCTGTGATCTGTCACAAAACAATTCTGGTGTGGGCTCTAGGGAATGAGTTAGAATATTTTGTGTAGGTGATAGCAGTAATTTTCTTAGGGCTTTCTATCATGAGATCCTGGAGCCAGAATCATGAGTATTGATAACAGGATTGGAGCTGCTGGATGAGTCATGTTCAATTCCTTTTGAGTTGCAGAAGGAGTTTCCCAGTAGAAGCAGCAATTCATTCATAATGAATTTACACATACTAAGACTTCACTCTTTTCATCATCTTTTACAGTCCCTTCACAGGCATAGTGCATGAAACAGCTAGGAACCTGCAGTTTATCAGATTGAATATAGCAAGGGAAAGTAGGGCGCAAAAATTGTTTCAGAGACAGCTAGCACCAATAGTTCAATTTTGTTCTTCTGAGAGGTTGAACAGACAATACAAAACTCATTATTTTGAGAAGATAATTTTATTGGTGCTTGAACAGTTACTATAATACAGTCTTATAAATATTTATAAATATTAGGTGGGAATTGCAACCCACTCAAATAAATAAATAAATATAGCCATATAAAAAAGTAATGATTTCTTAATAACTGATGATGGCCAGCACCTCCTCTAAAGGATTAATTCTTTTGACATTTCACCCCTGCTCTCTATGGTTACAAGTACATTTTTGATGCAAATCATACTGTGCATTCACTCTCAGCATAAGGACTAAATCTCTTGATTACTGGTAGAAAATAACAAACCAGAGTGAAAAATGAACAAGCCTTCTTACTCTATTCTAATTTTTGAGAATAGATAAAGTACAGAGATATAATGCCACAGCCTTTTTTTTTTTTTACCAAAGCGTTATATGGATAGGGAGATAAATCTTCCTGATTTAAGTTGTTGTAGCTTTGTTGAGTCCAAGACCCAGAGACTTCTGTGAAGCTTAAAACAGCTTATATTAAATTAAAATTTTGCTCCAGAGTTCTCAAGGTTAAAATGGGGAGGGAAAAAAAAAAAACACACACACACCAAGAATGGTAGAGGAATCAAGTAAAATTGCTAAAATTAAACACAGATAAAATTGTACCTGCATAGACAACATGGTAAAAGAGTCTGGCAAAGTTTTGAAAAAGCAAGAAAGCATACACCTACTCCTCCCCTGCACTGTCCTAAATCTGTTTCTCTCTTCCTTTCTTTTGAAGCTAATTAGGTTTACTATGAGTTCAAATAATGAAAAATAAATATTATTAGACAGAAAGCTTGATCTAATTCTAACCATTTGGCTTCTCCTGTGCTCTGACATACTCCTATAAACAGAGAGTCACACCATATCTTGAAAAATATTCTCACAGCAGAATTAGGTCTCTTACTATCTTACAGAACTACTTGAATGCTGTAGGTGAAGAGTTATTTCATGTGTGTATAGATCATAGAATGCTTAAGGTTGGAAGGGACCTCTAGAGGTCGTCTGCACACGCAGGGTCACGTAGAGCATATATAAAAAATACTTTAAATTCTGTCAGCAAAACAGACTTTAAGCTAAATCCTGATGAACTTCATGAAAGCAAAGAATGCAATGGGCCTAACGTTGATTTTGTTACACTGATGTAATTCTATTGGTTTCAGTGATTTACCTTACTAGGCTATAATAACAACAGGACTAGAATCTAGCCTACTATCTTCCATATTATTGATATAGATATTCCTAGGTCAATATATAGCATTTTCAGACTCTTGTCAGCTGTTAAATAAATTAAATAAATAAAATAGGTGATCTGCATCTTGAGAGAAAATGCATGCATGCCAAAATAAAAGCCCTTCCTATATATCCACCATGCTGTATTTTTCTGCAGGTTATCAGCACCTTGCTGTTGATTTCTGTTGGAGTACATCAAGAATAACCTTTAAAATTGCACAGATTTAAAATTTTAGGAAGGTGAGATCAAAGAAAAAAAAGCCATACTGAATTCCATCAGTTAATAATTTTGCACCTCAATTATAGTGAAAAGCTCTGTTCTACAGTTATTTTGATTAAATATATGTAAACTTCAGTTGCATCTATGGAGGTTAGATTCTAATAAGTAAACTTCCCCATAATATACACCAATCTGGATGTCTGAGGAAAAGTTTTGTCTGTAAAGGTTTTAGAGATCTTATAATGAAAATAAAGTCATTTCACTCTTACAAGTATAAAGCATCTGATACCTGCTCAGAACTAAATAGAAACAATGATTTGTGGATCAAATGGATCCTCCTTTTCTAAATATACACTTCGTTTTCAGTCATCCTAGTAGAATATGCACTAGCTATGAATGGTATGAAGACTATGAGGCATGACTGATTGGGATTTCCTACTGACTGATTTTCCTACAAGAGTTCAGCAGCATGCAAAATAACAAACTAACCCATTTTATATATTATTAATTATTAGTACTCTTGCTACTTCTCTCTATGTTGAAAATACATTAAAATAATGTTTTACATTATATTTCTATATTTTGAATATAGAAATGTGAGTAGAGAAGGAGTTGAGAGAACACCGAGAGTCTACTTGGTTTGTTCCAAGCCTCAGCTTGGATTCAATAGGAGTAAGAAATGGTTCTTCCTACTCAGGACCGTTTGATTCCTGTTCTCTTGCCAGTTACTCTTGTTTTCCATGTGTGCAGCTCCTTTAACAACAGAGCAGTCATTTTTTGTCTTCTATGGGTGTGAAAAGAGACTACAGCTCCAATCTTACCAGCTAACACCATACACAATAAAGTTTTTTAAAATCATGTAACAGCAGACATCTTTTATGTTGTGTTTGCACCATCTCATATTGTGCTAAGTAGAGGCTTCCCCACTTCTGCTGGAATGATGGCTGCAGAGCTTAAGCCCCTTTCCAGTTACACCAGTAATGTAACATCCTTTTCTTAATGTTTTTTTAAATGAGTTCTGTTCACTGATACAAAGTGAAGGTGATTCAACCCTCCCAAAAGTTTGCTTTGTATTATTCTTTTTGCAGATGTTTCTTCTGTTGGATAGAACTCCACCTGGGAAACATACTATTTGTTTTTGTTCAGTGAACTGTCTTACCTAAGGGTGCAATTTGAAATTCATTTTTTCAATTGTCCTTTATTCTAATAGTTATTTTGAAAGTTGGAAATTCAATCAAATGTGCTAGCCAGTTCTTCTTGTCTATCATACTCAAATACTTCAATTTGGGGTGTGACGCCATTATCTTGTAATATAGAAACGAGGGCTCACATGCCTTCTGGCATCCATCATAGCATGTGGGTCTTCTGAGTTGACCACATCATTCTGATTGATTCTCATAGGTTCTCTGGGAACATGGTCTGCTTGCAATTGCAACTGGGATCCTAGTACAGAAACTTTTCTCTGGGGGACCAAGATATGGTGAGGATCCATTGGATCAATGTCTGCACTTCTGGTGTTCCTGTGGGGCTGAGGTGTATTGAATCGGAAAAAAGGAATTTCATTTCTCCTGGACAAAAACTGGGAGTATGGTGGTGGATTCATACCAGGGAAGAAAGCTTGTTTAACTCTGCCTAAGCTAACCAGGAAATTGTGTTTAGGAGATTGGTACACATCATATCCATTTTCCAGGGTCCTGTGTTTGAACACGCAGTCGTCTTGGCTGAAGTAATGCTTAAGGAAAAAAAATACAACAGCTGTGAGCAGGGAGAATTGTTAATTAAAAAGTGCCAGTTAAAAACAGAAAAAGAAAGATGAGATCTTGTAGCAGGTGTCTTTCTGATCCTCTGATTCTGCAGTAACAACTGAGATGAGGCTTAGTCAAATGTAGATCTAATACGTGTGCCCCATAATTACAGCAAAGGATAACATTGTTTTCTCTGAGAAAACTGCAATGTCTTAACTGTTTCCATGCCACAGCTATAGACTATAGCAAGAGTTCAGGTTCGTCCACCCTTAGCTTTCATTCTGGTCTCACTTAAGCCAGTAGGACTAACATGACTTCTATCAGCAATACGATTCAATACAATTCACCAGAAAAGGAAAATTTAATCTAAGTGACAGATCCTCAGATGGCTAAAATCTGCATTCTCCTTCTCTACCTTTCCTTCACCCCTACACTACACAGATTGGCCCTAGCTGAGGAAATTGCCCAATGGAAAGAATAGCAAGCTATATCTGCTTCAGTCTTGAATCTTAGAGAATGTCACTCACCGATCCAAAAATATTTCCTTTCATGTCCATACATAGGTAGCATCCACTCTTCACTCCAGTGATTATTACATAGCCAGCACCCTCAGACTTGATCATTAGGGCACCTGTTTAGAAAAACAAAGATGTCAAATCCAGTTTTATGCTGAACTATTGTCTCAAAAATATACAGAATTGCTGACTGGAAGGTCCATCCTGGGAGTCATTAGGCCAATGTTGCACTCTAATATAGACAAATGTGCTGTTGATTCATATTTGGTCTCGTGCTCTCTGCAACCCTTAGGTCCAGTCCAGCAAGACTCTGTCTCTCTAGTGAGACTGCTCCAGCCTGTACCACCACCAAGAGTTACTCCAGCCCAGGTGCAGAACTTAGCACTTCTAATATGTCTGTTGTCTCAGTGGGACTTTGGTGACTGGGCAGATGTTTAGTCATTTCCCTTTCACAGCTCCTTTCCTTATCTTATCTCAGGCTTTCTGTTCCACCATTCCAACTATGTGTGTATTTGCTGCATGGGAGATTGTAAAAGCATGGCGTTTTTTTAGCTGTGGTTCTTGGTACCATCATACCTTTTCTTGACAAAAACAACTGAATTTTATAAAACCTACCAATATGCAAAAAGAATAATTACAGGAGGATGAAACCTTTCTACAAGTGTTTTATCAGTAATTCCTAGTAATGTCGCAGGAATCAATCATTTTTTTCTCCTTCATTAAATCATAATCTTTTAAAATCTTTCATTCCTCATGAACTTATAAGCAGAAGTCATATGCTTACATTTTTAGTTAAGTAGATGAAGAAGACGGTATGCAGTAAGAACAGTAAAAATGACTTTCTGATTTATAGTTACTTGTGAGGTAAGCAATGAAAAAAGAGAACTTGTGGAATGTTATGAAAGAACCCTATTTTTTTGAAAAACACTTTTCTACTTGCTATCCTGTTTGGACTAGTTATACAACAAAGGATCTTAATTTTGTATGAAAACAGATTATGATGACGAGAATTTGAGAGCCATACTGCACTCCAAAGGGTTAGCACTTCATTTATGAGACCCTGACATTTTGCAGTTCCCCCTTGTTAAATCAAACTTTGTGTATCCAGTGACTCGTGTTCTATGCACAGTTGTGTCTCTGTCATGCAACATATCAAAGGGACATATCTGAAGCCTGTCTCACAAACCAATTTTCAACACAGACAAGTGCTACTGTATTTTGAAAACAATGGCCAACTCATGCAGTTGCTTAGAGATAGCTATTAGCTCTCTTCCCAAAAATATTTTATGGACACAATCCATTTTCCCTCTCTGCTATGATGGGGTCACTTAGTGTACTCCATTACAGATGCTATAATTAGAATAGGAAGGGGCTGCTTGGGGCTTTTCATCACCAACCTCTCATCAGGACTTCCACAAGAAGCTGTGATTAAAACCATGAAGTGAAGGATAATTCTGGCATTTTTTGCTTGCAAAGTATCACAGAAATCACAGAACTTACTATGAAAGTGAAGAGTGAGAATCCCCTTCTTCTAGATTTCTTTGAAGAAATTGCGTTTATTTGTTAAACAAAAGGAAGACTATAATTATGTTTTCCATCTCACAGCTGCCTGTCTGCCTAACTGGAGAATGGGAATGCTATAGCTAGTGGAAAAAAAAAATCACCGTGCTATTTACCCTGTTCACATGAAAACCGGGGGTCCATAATGAGCTACTTACTGTAAATGGTTTGGTGCGGGACACCATCAATGTAGCCATCAGCATTGATCTGGAGGTGGAAGCTGTTCCTCTCCGTCGCTGTGTACAGGTGCATCAGGTGATCTGTGCTGCCCCAGCTGGGGTTCAACAGTGGAGAGGCATTAAGAAAGGCAGCAGTAGCCTTCAGGCTGCAGAGCACCAGCAGCTTGTACACCAGGCAGCTGTAGGGACCCGCTTGTGGCATAGCTCTCTTTCCTTAGTGACTGGTCAGTATCTGAAACTTGATAATCCTCTTTGCTTTTCTTTTTTTCCTTTGTTTGTATGTTTGGAGCATGAAGCCTCAGATGGACTCCCTTCTTCTTTGTAGATGCTTATAAAGGGAAGCCAGGTGACATCACACAGGAAAAACTTCTCCACATCCTTGAGTTTTGTCAAAGAAACATTTTAAGTGACCCAAAACCTCAAGGGAAGGAAAGCACGTAGGTTCTCTGGCTAAGGTGCGGGGTGGAACAAAAGTAAGGTTTCTAAATACAGCTCAGAAAGCTAATCATATGTTCAAATGTTATCTACAAGCCTGTGACATCTGAGAGCTTCCCACGCCCCTACTGTTAAATCCAGGAAGAGCAGTCCACTGTGTTGCACGGAAAGCTTTTTGGGCAGGGAAGGGAATGACCCTTCAGACTTTGAACTCTCTTTTATTCTCATACATGCTCATTCAGATTCCCACCTACCCCTTAGTTTTCCAAACCACATTCTGATTTGAAAGAAACACCAAATATTGTTCAAATTTTGAAGACGTGTCAGAAGCTGGTATTAAATTGATTTGGACACCCAGATCTGGATTCCCCATAGTGATGAAAAGTAAGCAGTGAGCCTGTTGGACTGAAACTTGTGTTATCTCATTTAAGCAAGAGAAGCTTGCTATGAGCACAACCGTCTGGAAATAAACTCTCTCTCTCTCTTTTTTTTCTTTTTTTTTTTCTGTAGTTTGAAGTTGGCCAAACAGCCTGCATTGTTTATCTAGCTGACAATCATTTATGGAGTCATATATGTTAGCATGGCTAGTAGATCGAGAATTTGAATCCAAACTGAAATGACTCATCTTAGCACATTTTTGTTGTTGCAAGTATAGCAAACACACTTGGAAGAACTATGAAGGGATATGACCAAACTGAAAAGTAATAACCGTAAAGCAATGTTCAAAAATGGCTTAAGATACGATACCCACATTTCAGTTGTCCTGACAAGTTTCTGTGGTTTTACAAACAAATTTTCTAATTAAAAAAGAAACGATTTTTTTATTATGAAAATATTAATGGGAAAGTGACTATGTAGGTAAAATGATGATGATAATAGGTTATGAAACAAGGCTATACTAGGATTTCTTTCAAGCAATGAATACAAAACTGAATGGAATACTGAAAATTAAGTGAATCCCTTTTTTTTTTTTTAATAGGTTATCAGGTTTTTATTTGTAGCAGTTTGAGGTCCAGAACTTTTAAGCAGCGATGAGAGTAAGTTACAGTCTCTAGCTTGACACAGTTATGTCAGATTCTCTTTAGCAAGCTGTGGAACAATGCCACCAGCACCATGCATATTACAGTTTTTTACAAGTGCAACCAAATGCAAAAATTGATTGGATTTTTTTAATGTTTAAAATTAGCAAAACTCTGCCAATTTCTTCTGACACACCTGTGTAAATCTAGAGACTTACGTCAGTGTATATACACCTGTGTAAATGACAGCAAATTTATGCAAAGTGTATAAGGGTCATATCTAAAGCTGAATAGATTAACAAAATTGACTTCACTGAGACAGTCAAGGCTACAAATGTTTTACTGGGTGTAATATCTGAAATACTTTACTGTCTTAATCTAAAGGCTACTTTGGAAGGAAAGGAGGAATATATTTTCTTTTTTAAATGATCATTTCTTTTTTAAATACTTTAGTGGTGAAAATACATTAGTGGGTTTTTTTTTCAGTCTGTTATTAGAATCCAAGAATTTATATTTTCTTGTGTGTTTTGCTCCCTTCCATGCAGGGATCATGCATCATGTATACAGATACCTCAGAAGCATATATAGGATAGCATGTCCTCTTGGAAGTTGTCATCTGGAGTTTTGCTGGTATGATATTTTGTATTCATCATGATTTTTGTCTGTGCTTACCTTTCTGCATTCATTTAATTTCTCTCTGGTGTCTTAGCCACAGAGATTTCTAATGTTTTTGAAAAATTTATTCAGTCATCTCAACACATGCTGTTGTGACCAGCTGTCTCTCTCTATTTTTATGTGGTAGACAAGCAAAGACTACTTTCAGGTGATTAAGTTGTTGGGCATTTTCAAAAGTTTCTCGTGAGGTTGGTAACATTCCAGTGCTCTTATATCCTTATGCTATTGCAGCAGCGGCAACAATATTTTTGTAACTTTTACCATGTATATTGATATTTATTTTTTGTTTGTATCATTCTTAGATGTTTGACCAATCAAGACTCTTTTTTTTCAGTCCCAAAAGAATTGTGCTTGTTTTAGAGGGAAGAAAATGAACAGAATTTAAAGATCGAAAATGTTTCAGCAATCTTAGAATTTATGCTTTTCTTTAAATGCCACCTTAATTCAAATAAATAATTCAGGGAAGCAGATTCTGAAGAACCTCTTAAGCAAACCTGTTCTGAAGAACCTCTTAAGCAAACAGGACAGAAGGTGGGTGCTGTGAGCAGCTGGGACACATGTCCCACCCTGAGCTTGAGGCATGCTGGTGGAAAAGGACAGGATTGCCCTGCCCTTAGCAAGGGGAACTGAATACAGACCTTTCGGCCATAAGAGTTGCCACATGTCCACATTTCCCAGGTTCCACTGTGGAGCCACGGCTCAGCCAGGGTCAGGCAACACAAGACACAGGGCTTTTCTTAGCATCCTGCAAAGGCGGTGGGAATCACTGACAGCCTAAAGACAGCATAGAGGGTGGCTTGCTGTTACCACTAATGAAGAGAAAGGTATGAATCAAACAGCCTACTTTGCAGGCTGAAATGTATTTTAGAAAATGGTTGGTGTTCTGCACTTTCCCAGACCCAGTTACCCTTTTCCTGTCAGGCCCTCACCCTTTACCTGCTCCTTCTGCCTTCATCCTCTTTGCTTCAGGGACAGGAGAGGTCTGGTCGAGCTGGTGGATCTAGGAATCAGTGGTGCCAATCAATAATACCATGTGGGCTGCAAGTGCTAGTCCAAGGCATGCAGTGACCAGTGGACACAAAATACCAAATATCTGTAAGTGAACATAATCAATTTCTTTGTCCAGTGAAGTAAATATGCAGTTAGAAGTTTTGTAATTTAATTAAAAAGATCATTTAACTAAAAATTATACTCAAAACTGTACACCAAGGGAACTAAATTATGATAACCGGAGGCACCTGAGTTCCGACATTTCCCACATTTTGAATATTTTACCTTTCAGCCTGAGGCTGAAATGCCTGATTTTTTGACCATAACTTTCAGTTTCAAATCTGTCAAACCCTGAGGCTGGCAGCTGCCTGTCGCCTGCTATGCAGTGGCTCACAAGGTACCTCCCTTCATTCATTGCTAACACTTCAGTCTGCAACAGACAGGGCAAGTGCAAGCTTTTTGAACACATGTAAATTACTACTACAAGAAATTCACTCTTAGTTACCTTTTGCAGACTCTTTAAAAGTGCTTTATGCACCTTCCAAAATTTGCAGGTCATTCCTATGACTTTCCTACTCCATATAATGAGGTTGCTCTCCATGATCCTCTGACAAGTAAAAAGGCACATCGCTCAGTGTTTGACTATTTTTCAACACGTAGACACACATGTAGGGCTGTTGCCTAATAAAGCATTCTGACCTATATTTAAACAGGTGTGTGGCTAGTCATTTTACAGAACCGTTCTGGCTAAAGACAGGGAGTTGTTCACCTATCATGAGCAGGGAGATGTTCACCCCATGGCAGGGAGCTATGTGAGCATGGAAAAGATATTGCTTCTTCTGTTACAAGGTAGCCAGAATGACCCCCTGAAAGCCTCCTGCTTTCTGCTTTCTGCTGTTTCAAAGATCACAAGAGAATATGGCTTAACAAATACTAAGCAGGTTCCTTTTTCACACTTTCCTCTGCACTGCATCTCTTCTAAGAGCTCAGGGATTCAGGGGTGCGTTTCCTTTCTTCCTTCTTCCTTAAAATCACTGTAATAGCTGGCTCTGGGACAATCACGGCTTCAGTGTTGGAAGTACAAGGGTGGAGTGTCTCTCTAGTAGTTATTCTTGGAATAATGACACATCAGGATAGTGATATGTACTGTGGATGCCCTGTGTGCATGTGTGTGCATGAACCTTTGCCAACACTTTACCCAGTGTTGTTAAACACATCCTGTGTGACCTTATTTGGACATCCCATCCTTGTCACACTGCCCACGACTTAAGCAAACATCCTGGCTGGGCTCACCTACGTGAAAGAAATGAAGTAAACACAGCCCACTGCATCTGAGACCACAGGGTGTAGTAGCGGTTTCTTCAGCTTGCCAAATGAATGATCTTGGGTCTTCTATTTTTTCCCTTCACCTTTTCTCCATGTAGTAGATGTTTTGGGAAGCCATTTCCAGTTTTAAAGTGATAAATTAGCTAGGCAGGCAGACAGTGATTATTGCTGGAGTAGCTCTTGGACACCTATCCTTGTATAATGCAGAATATAGTCTTCCTGAGACATGCTTGTCTTTTCTTCTTGGGACTTTACTTTCCATGCAGAAGGGAAACTGAATTTGCATTTTCGTAGGTGTTGTGGAATAAAGAATGGTCACAATCTCTTATGGGAGCTGCTGATACTTCCTATTTTCAAGGAAGTGTCCCCTGGGGACAGAAAGACTCCTTGGCTGGGAAGGAGCTTGGTGATGGGTAGATGAGAGGATGGATGTGGGCCTGGGATGACAGAAATGAAAAGAACTAGCAGAAATCTGGGGCTGGATCCTGGCGTAAGAGCATGTGGGAAGCAAGTAGTCAAGGCAGGAGATGAAGGTGTGAGAGGGTACACCAAGAAAGGAAAGGAAATAGGCAGAAAATGGACCCATCAATCAGTTGTATCAGCTGTAATACAGCAGCTTGTACACAAGCAAACTTTGAGGGCCAAGCACTTTTTGTGCTTGAAGGTCACAAGTGGCTGCACTAAGCTCATTTTCTTAGTATATTCTAGTAGTAAGTTCTCAGATAATCTGTGGTTTTAAAAATGCATGTTTAAAACA